TGCTGCTGCTGCTGCTGCTGCTGCTGGTGCTGCTGCTGCTGCTGTTGCATGCGTTGCTGCTGCTGCTGCTGCAGCACAGACGGCCGCAGCCTCAGGGGCTGGGGCCGCTGCTGCCACACCGTCTTCTGTGGGAGCTCTTCATCCATTGCTGCCGCTGCTGCTGCTGGCGCTGCTGCTGCTGCGAGGCCGCGCCGTTGTTAGCTTGCACGTGCTGCAGCTGCCACACTGCTGCTGCTGCTGCTGCTGCTGCCTGCCGCAGTGGGCCCCCTCAGAGGCTGCCCTTGCGGCTGTCTCGGCAGCAGCCAGGCCCTGCGGTGTACGTACACCTCGCAGGGTTTGCAGACCTGGGCTTTTCCGTGCTCCCAGAAAAGTAGGTAGGAGGCCTCGCAGCAAACGCAGCAGTTGCTGCTGCTGTTGCTGCTGCAGCAGCTGAGTGCATGCGCGCTGCTGCTGCTGCTGCTGCTGCGGGGTCGTTCGCTGCTCGCGCATGCAGTCGCCAGCCGGCTACTGCTGCTGCAGCAACGAGTCAGGAAGCCAAAGTTCCTATAAGAGGCGGCGGCAGCATATTTGGGGGATGGGCGCAAAGGCGCAGCTGGCAGCTCTGCTGCTGCTGTTGCTGCATGCGGCGGCAGCAGCAGCAGAAGCTTCTGCAGCAGCACTGCTCTCCCGTCGCCCCGGCGCTGCTGCTTGTCCTGGAGCCCCCAGTTTACAAATCGAATATACAATGAAAATGAAGCTGCTTTAGCTCCTTTGAGGGGTGCCGCATGCACAGACGCCACTGGCTCGGCCCGATTCCTGCTGCTGCAGCACAACAACCCCACCCCTCAGCAGCAGCAGCAGCAGCAGCAGCAGCAGCAGCGAGCGCCCACCAGTAGGGCCCAGCACTCTCAGCGCTGCAGCTGCTTTTAAGGGCTCTGCTGCCTCGGTGGCGTTCTGCGCGTCAGCGAGTGAAAACTTGCTGAGGCGGGGCTGGTGTGGGGCAGGCTTCCAGCTGCTGCTGCTGCTAATGTTGCTGCTGCTGCTGCTAATGTTGCTGCTGCTGCAAACTGCTGCTGTAGTGCCCTCACACAGCGGCCCAAGCAGCCCGAAAGCTAGCCTGCTACGGGGCCCCCCTGCTAAGGGCTGATGCCCACGCTGCCAAGCAGCAACTGCAGGTGGAAGGCCCCCAGGGCCCTTAATGCAGCAACGGCAGCAGCAGCAGCAGCAGCAGCAACTCTATCTACTGATTCTGTGGTGACGCTGCAGCGCGAATTCCTTGAAGGGCGTGCACTGCCGTCTCAGCTAGCCGTCGCATCCGATTCTGTAGCTAGCTAGCTAGTTAGCTGCTGCGTCTTTTGCTAGCTAGCTAGCTAGCTGGCTAGCTAGCTAGCTAGCTAGCCAGCTAGCTGGCTCGCTCGCTAGCTAGCTAGCTAGCTGTTGCTGCCCCGCCCCGCAGAGGCACTGGAGCCCAGAGCCACTTATCACATTAGCGTGTAGCCTAAGCCAATACGCTCCTCAGTAAGTTGCTGCCTGAAGTGAGTACTAGGGTTTAGGGTTTAGGGTTTAGGGTTTGGGTCCTGATGGTGTGTTTGGCAAACGGAGTAACTTAGCGGTCATGTCCGCTTGGCGGCTTGCTGCCCTCAGATCTACTGTTGCTGCTGCTGTTGCTGCTGCTGCTGCCGCAAACAGGCGCGGGTGGCTTCGCACATGGAGGCTGCAGCAACACTTGCTGCAGCGGCTCGGCCAAAAACAAGTTGCTTCAAATGGCTAGCTAGTCAGCCAGCCCCTGGCTAGCTCTAGCTAGTCGGCTAAGCAGCTAGCTACGCGGGCAGCAACGCCATTGGCTAGCTAGCTAGCTAGCTAGCTAGCTAGTGCAGCCACCTGGCCAGCTAGCTATCTGGCTGGCTAGCTACCTAGCCAGCTAGCTAGCTGGCTGGCTAGCTACCTAGCCAGCTAGCTATCTGGCTGGCTAGCTACCTAGCCAGCTAGTTAGCTAGCTGGCTAGCTAGCTGGCTGGCTAGCTAGCTGGCTAGCTAGCTGGTTAGGCAAGGAGTTCCTCGAGCCCCTCGGCGTCGGCGAAAGGGGTGCCGCCGAGGGCCCTGCGCTGCAGCTGCAGCCGGAGTTGTTTAGTCTTCTTATCGCCGTGGCTTTTCTTGCTGCTGCTGCTGCTCTCCTCCTCCTCTTCCTCTTCTTCCTCTTCCTCCTCCTCTTCTGCTGCTGTTGCTGCTGCTGCGTCGCTGTCCTCGCCAGAGTCCGAGGCCTCAGCAAAAGAGTCTTCAGAATCTCCCAGACTTTCTTCGTCGCTTTCGCCGCCCCCGAGCTCGCGGGCCTGCTGCGCCAGGAACGCGTCCACCTGCGCAGGCGTAGCCCGCAGCAGCAGCAGCAACAGCAGCAGCAATGCAGCAGCAGCAGCAGCAGCAGCAGCGAAAGCGGCGCCCATACAGCGGCAGAAAGAGGGGCGCACACGCCTCAGAAACAGGAGCAACAGCAGCACCCACACAGCAGCAGCAGCGGCAGTGCCCATGCAGCAGAAGTAGCACACGCAGCGGGACCAGGCTAGCAGCAGCAGCAGCAACAGCAGCCGCAGTGGCAGCAACTGCTCCGCAGATTTGTGGAAGTCACGGGGGCAGCAACGCGCGCCGCAGCAGCAAAGCGGCACTTGCATATGAGCAAGCCTTGTGTGAAGCACGCACTCGAGCAGCTGCCGTAACAGCAGCAGCACAAACTGCAGCAGCAGCAGCAGCAGCAGCAGCAGCGTGCTTCCCACCTCGTCGTCGCTGAAGGCTTCGTCGTCTTCCACATCCTCTGCCGAGGCCTCCGCGTCGCTGTCGCTTCCGCCTTCCTCGTCAGCTGCAGAAGCAGCACGGCGCCGTTTGTGCTGCAGCTGCCCAGCAGCAACTACGCGGTCCTGCGCACAGCAGCAACAGCAGCAGCAGCAAGGCGGCAAGAGTATTTTCCCCGAAGCCTCATCCAGGAGGCTGCGGTTCACGAAGACGCGGCAGCAGCAGCAGCAGCGGCAGCAGTGCATGCAGCAGCAGTAGCAAACGTAGCAGCAGCAGACAGCATCACAGCAGTGGCAGCAGCAGCAGCAACAGCAGCAAACAGCAGCAGCTGCTGCCTACAAGGAAGTACTGCCGGATAAATTCCCTCTCTGGATCAGCTTCGTGGCGTTGCCAGTAGCGGGTAGAGTTTAGAGAGATGCGGTGGTCTTCTTGCTGCTGCTGCTGCTCCTCGTGCTGCTGCTTCTGGTGCCGCCGCTTCTGCTGCTGCTGCTTTTGCTGCTGCTGCGGGGCCTTGTAGGCCAAGTCGTCGAGGACTCCTGAGTTTGTGACGGAGCGCAGCGTCTGCACAATTGCTGCCTCATCAACTGCAGTCGGGTCTAAATCCCCGTTGCTGCTGCTGCTGCTGCTGCCCGCTTTGCTGCTGTAAGCAGCAACAAGCTTCGCAGCAGAAGAAGCCACCCGCGGGTGGTAGCTTGCTGCGCAGGCCAGCACTTCCCATAGCCGCGTCTCCGCCGCCTGAAAGTAGTAAAAACAAGACATAATCCACTGCTGCTGCTGCTGCTATGGTGCGGCTGCCGCTGTTGCGGCTATCGCTGCTGCTGCTGCTGCTGCTGTACGGCAGGACAAATGCAGGCTGCATGGAACGGAAAACGAAAAAGCTATTGCCTCAAAGATATGGAAGAGAAACAGCAGCACAGCAGAAAAAAGAGGAATCAGAAGCAAAAGCAAACAGCAGCAGCAGCCCTCTTGCTGCCCCCTGAGTACGTACTCGCGTGAAGCGGGGGTCTCTCTTTTCGGGTGTATAGACACAAGGAGCCTCGGCTCCTGCTGCTGCTGCTGCTGTTTCGTCTTGAGGCTGGGAAGCCTCGAGAGAGTCGTCGTCGTCTGGGGCATCCTGCAGCAGCAGCAGCAGCAGCAGCAGGAGCAGCAGCAACAAAATTGTTCACGTTCGAGCCGCTGGGAGGGAAGCAGGCGTTCGCCTCCTAGCTGCTGCTGCTGCTGCTGCACATCACTGCTGCTGCTCAACTCACTGCCACGATCTCGTCCGTTTGCTGCAGCTGCGCCTCCCCCTGAGACAGCAGCAGCCTGAGCTGCGGGTGCTGCTGCAGCACTCCCTGCACAATCTGCAAAGAAGCTGCTGCCAGTCCAGGCGTAGCGTAGAAGAGGCTAGTCTGCAGCGACACCCGCAGCAGCAGCAGCAGCCGCAGTGCTGCTCCGGCCGTCCTTCACTTGCAGTTACTACGGCTGCTGCTACAGCTGCTGCTGCTGCTGCTGCTGATGCTGCGAGTGTTGCCGCGGTGCAGCAAAGTTCAGTTGCCTGCCCTCACCTGCAAGAGCCTCTTGATGAGTGCTGCCTTGCGCGAGTCGTTGGTGTCCTGCAGCAGCAGCCGCAGCAGCAGCAGCAGCAGACCGCCGCGGCTGCTGGAGTGCAAACCTGCATGCTGCGGCTGCAGCTGTTCGTACACCACACGAGAAAGACGGTCTGGGCTGTGGCTGCGAAGCAACAAACAGCAGCAGACGCAGCATCCAACGATGCGTCAGGCCACGCAGCAGCAGCAGAAACAGCAGCAGCAGCAGCAGCAGCAGCGGAGGAGCAGCAGAAGCAGCAGTGGACCCCAAGACTACATATGCAACAGAGAGTCATTGTCGGCAGCTCTGTATGTAGCTGCACGCGAAGCCTGGGATCAAATAGTGACCAGCGGCAGCAGCAACAGCAGAGCAGCAGCAGCAGGAGCAGCAGCAGCAACAGCAGCTGACTGGTAGAGGGAACTGAGACAGTGGAGGATGCGGAGAGCCAAAATCCGAGAAGCAGCACAAGGAAGGCTGTGCGAAAGCGTGAAGAGGACCTCGGAGAGCTGGTCAAAGGTGCCTCGCTGCTGCTGCTGCTGCTGCTGCTGCTGCTTGTGGCTCTTCACCGGCGCCTGCAGCAGCAGCGTGGCTGCTGCTTCAGGAGACACGTAGGGAAGAGCCCGCAGCAGCCCCGACAGCAGCACCCGCACAAGCCTGTTGCAGCAGGAAGCAAGATACAAGGGAGGCAGCACAGCCAGCTGCTTCTTGAGAGCTGCATTTGCTGCTTCGCCTTCGTCGCCACCTGCTGCTGCTGCTGCTGCTGCTGCTTTTCTGGGCCCCAGGGCTTGCTGCAGCACAGGCTGTAGAGACACCCCAAATTCCGCAAGCCGCTGGAAGACTGTCAAGTAGCTGCTCACCAGCCGCGCCACAGCAGCTCCGTCTCCCCTGTAGCAGCAGCAGACTCAACAGCAGCAGCAGCAGCTTCAACAACAGCAGCAGCTCGCGCAGCGGCAGCAGCTTCAACAACAGCAACTCGGAGCACCCTCCTCCGCTGCAGCTTTTGCAGCTACAGCAGCGGTGGCAAAAGCGAAAAAGGCGCCAGCTGGAGCAGCAGCAGCAGCAATGGCAGGAGCAGCTCTCTATTTTCCAGCAGCATTTGCAGCTGCAGCAGCAGCGACCGCAGCAACTGCAGCAGCAGCGCCTCACTCAGTGAAGAGAAGTTCTGAAAGGAAAAGGAGTCCTCGGTAGACGGCCTGCAGCCCAGCAGCAAACTTTGGGGGCAGCAGCAGATCGTAAGCGCGAGCTGCTGCTTCGACTTTCCGTTGCTTATCACTGCTGCTGCTGCTGCTGCTTTTCTG